ATTGTCTATTGTTATTCGCGATAAAGCATCCGCGATATAACTATCTTTGCCCCTAAGATATTCAACTGTGAATTCATATTCCTCTAGATCAAGTCTCATTCTAGTCAATTTAGAACTAGGATTTCTCATTGAAAATAAGTATGTTAGTGGTCTGTGATCCGTACGGACAAGAAATTGTTTACCGTATATGTATGGCCTAAAGTGTGTAATAGCCCAGTGAATTGCTGTTAATTCTTGTTCAATGGTGGATTTATTGCTTTCTACTTTTGTGAAGCATTTGGATGCATATGCAACTGGTAGGTGTTTTCCTTCGTGCTCTTGAGTTAAAACTGCCCCACAAGCATACTTGCTTGCGTCTGTAGTTATACAAAACTCTTTCCCGAAGTCAGGGTATTGCAGTAATGTTGGGCTTATTAATACTTTCTTCAAATAATTAAATCCTTTTTCACAATCTTCAGTCCATTCGAACGGTACATTTTTTTTTGTTAGTCTCGTAATGTGTCTAGAATGGTGCGAAAAGTTTTTGATAAACCTTCGATAGTAATTGCAAAAGGCTACGAATCTTCGTGCGCCATCTGCGTCAGTAGGTTGTGGATAATTCTTGATTACTGAATATTTACTATCGTCTGGTAGTATCCCTTTATCAGTACACTTATGTCCCAGATATGTTACTTCCGTTTTAAAAAATGAACATTTTTCGGGGTGTAGTTTGAAATTGTGTGTTTCTACATAATTAAAAGACATTAGTTAAATTTGAAAGCATGTGCTTCTCAGAGCATCCTAATACGACTAAATCGTCCATATATAAGAAAGCTTGATCTGGTTTTAAACCACTGAAAGCAAATGTCATCATTCTTTGGAATGAGTTAGGTGCTATTTTTAGTCCATATGGAAGTCTAGTGAATCTATATGATCCATTGTACGTTGAAAATGACGTAAGATTTCTAGATTTATCTTCCAGTTCTATTTGGTGGAATCCAGACATTAAATCTAAGCAAGAGAAATATTTTGCTCTGCCAAGTTGATCTAGGATGTCGTCTATTCTTGGCAGTGGAAACTTGTCTGCGACGAGTTTTTTATTCAGTTGTCTGTAATCTATTACTAGTCTCCATCTTTTTTCTTTAGAGCCTGGTAGTGGCTTCTTTGGTACTAGTAAGATTGGACTGTTGTACTCGGAGTGTGATGGTTCGACTATTCCATCGTCTATCAATTTTTTCACTTGATTGTCAATCTCATCTTTGTGAGTATGCGGTACTCTATGGTTTCTTAATATATACGGGTGTATTATCTTCAACTTTAAATTTTTGGCTATAGAAATTATTAGTTGTTATCGGTTCAGTTTCTAAACCAAAAATATCAGTGAATTTTGAACAAAGGTTTGTTAAGGTATTTTTAAATTGACTTGGAAATTGTTTATTTAATATGGTTAAGATTTCTGTTTTTCTACTGTTATTATTGACTTGGTTATTTGTGACAATTTCATAATCATTAATTTGTTCGGTTATGATTTTTGATTCCTCAAATTTTGCTGTGTGAAAATTTGTATTTAGAATGCGAATGAATGCTTTATTTGCTCTTACAAGAGTGCTAGCTATAAATACACCTGGATGAATTTCCTGTTTTGGTACAAGTATATCTTGACTTGTACTTTTAATTTTTATTTGGCGTATTACTTCTGATCTTGCTGGCAAGGTTAAGTATTCATTGCATGTATTTGCTATTGGTATTTCTATGTGTTGGTGAAAGTTAGGTGGACGTAGTACAAAGTAATCAAAATCTTCGTTGAAATCTAGAATACAATTGTATTTTCTGATAAAATCCATACCGATAATTCCATCACAAGGTATTGGGAAATCATCGTGCACGACGTGAAAGGTGTGCGGAACTAAGAAATTTTTGTACTTCAGATCGAAGTGTGTAGTTCCTATTGATTTTATTTTACCTTGTCCTATTCCACTTAATGATGTAATGATTTGTGTGTTTATTTGATCTTGTTTAAAGTGTGCAGTTTTTATTAGTGAAATATCTGCTCCTGTGTCTATTAATAATATTATTGTATTGTTAGTGTCATTTAATCGGACTTTTATAAAAATGCTCAAGTTAAGATTAAGATTATACAATTTCTTTCTATTGACTTGATCTTAGGGGACTGTGAGAGTTTTCCGAATGTTCTTGGTTATTGTTAGCTATTCTAACATTATTAGTTCGACCATTTTCTTGTCGGTTATAATTGTTTCGGTTACGGTTTCCACGATAGTTGGAGTTGTTATCTCTATTACCATTATTGTTATTGTATCTTCTGTTGTTTTGTCGATTTCCTCCTCTGTAGTTTCCTCTGTTACCACCTCTGTAGCTTTCTCTACCATTTCCTCTGTTTCCATGGTAGGGTTTATTTGATCTTCCGAAGTGTAGGATAGTGTTGTGTTGTCCAGTTGCTTCGGTGCAACTTCCGACAAACTTTCCTATTGCTTCGTTCATGGAGTTGAATTGACCTGCCTCCATGATGAGTTTTACTCTATCTATGGTGCAATTTTTGGTCATTGCCTTTACTGCTACTTGGGTTGAGTATTTGGTGGCTTGACTACAGGGTATGCCGTCAGCGATGTATGTATGGTCAGTGTCAGTTACTTCAATGGTTTCGCCTTTTACACATGCTGTTAGTTTTGCTATGATAGACTGAATTGTCGTCTCACTGTCTAAGAGGTTTCTGCTATTGCCTTTTAGTTTAGTTTTTATTAAACTAACGGCTACTGATTCGTGGTTGCCTTTTAGTGTGTCTACTAAAGAAAGTGCATCTAAGAATGATCTTAGATTTTCTGGCTTTCCATCGAATTCAGGATCAACCTGGTGGCAGTATTTATAAATTCTATATTTGTTTGTGCCATGTTGATTTCTTCCAGTCCTTCCTCTTCAGTAATATTATCTTGTTAAGTTGTTGTATATTAGGTGTTATAAGGATATTGATATCAATTTTTATTGGTTCTTCAATAGTGTGTGGAACTTCTTGCTGAATATTATGACGGTTAAGGGCTTTAACTAATAAATCCCTGAGTTCCCAAAATATTTTTAATGCTTGGTTCTTATGTGTTTGTGTAAATCTGTTTTTATTTATTGCTACTGTCTTTCTAACATCTTCTATTGAACTTATTATAATGCCTAAATGTTTTCTGATTGTGTCTTGCCCTATGCTACGGTTTTGTGTAATGCATTTATAAGATTTTTTTATTATTACTGCATTAGTTTCTATGGATTTTATTATTGTTTCCCATTTATCCATGGACATAAAATTATCAACTGAATCTAGTTTCTGGTTCTTATTCTTCCAAAATTTTTTTTTTTTTTTTTTATTAATATTAAGAGGAGTTTTCTTTCTTATTTATACCTTATCTAGTTAGTTTGCCATACTTAGATATTTCTTTTTTAATTTTTTATTGTGCATAGCGTATACATGTAGTGCTAAGTTTATAACGCTTACAATCGTAATTATGACTATACATATTTCTATTGTTTCTATATTAATTTTTCTTCTGTTACTTCTACTTCATTTATTACGTTAGCGTTGGGCTTTTCTAATTTTGAGTCGGTATTGCCCATTCTAAAAAAAATTTTGTTAAGTTCAAAAAAATTTTAACTTAAATCAATTTTAATTAAAAATTTATATTTTTTTTTTTCGTTAGTGAAAAAATTTTCATTTAAGTGAAATTTTATTTTTAAATAAAATTTTTTATTTTTTTTTTTGATTTTAAGATAAGATTTTTTTCTTTAAAAGAATTTTATTTTTTTTTTTTTTTTTTTTTCAATTCATTTGCTTATTATTAATTTACAATTTCAATTTGTTTTTCTTAAAAATTAGTTGCCCCGAGCGATTATCGCTTACTGGCCCTATGAGTGCGAATAGGGAGCACTTCATTAATACAATCTATGGGTTTTTTCTCTTATTGTGTTGTCCGCCCTGGTCTGGCGTCCAGGAATTGTTTGATGAGGAACGTTATTTCATCTATGCGTTCCCAGATTTGGCACGATCTTCCCCAGGGTGGTGCGGGTTCTGTGTTCAGCTCACGTTGGAGGATGGCTTTTTTCCTCTTTAGTTTTTGCGTGTAGCCTCCACGCCTCTTCCTTCTTGCTACTGGTAGGATTATTGTTTCTTCCTTCTTTGGTTTTTGGTTTTTCTGTCGCCTCCGGTACTCCTCAACGGTCAATGGCTGGGGACCGGGCTTCCTTCCTGTCATCGCAACTGACGGACGCTTTGGCTGTCCCGTCAGGACTTTTGGTTTTAGGTGCTATAATTTGAAGCACACTTTTCAGGATTTTAATTGAATTTTTATTGAAATTTCATTTTTCGGATTTTTATAATTTTTTGGAGATTTCTCTTCTTTTTTTTTTGAGTAGAGGCTCAAAATGAAGCCTCTTTTTAATTTTTAAAATTATTTTTTGGTGCTCTATAGTGAGAAGCACACTGGCAGAATCGCGGTGACCATGCCGTTGATGACAAATACTGTTTTGTCGGCAATTAGGCATTGGGTGGTCTTGGCATTGAAAGTGAAATGGTTTAAGTGGTAATGAACTGAAGTGACAAAGAATGCCATCAAGGTCTTTTGATATGATTTGGGTTAGTTTGCTTCGACTTGTTTGTTCTTTAAAAGTCACACTGCATACTACACACTACACACTGGCCAACCAACTGAAGTTCGGTTGTCCTCCGTAGTCGACCCATAAAATCGGAATCGAATATGCATGCACGTTCTGCTGAACGATAAATATTTTGTAAATGTGTGCTCTGTCCGCTAACGAATTCCAGCCATGTGTGAAATATCGTATGTGAAGCCCATGATGCAATAATGAAAGGTGTTATACGTTGGCAACTTCTCGCTCTAATCCGCCATCTTGAACTACCTTAGGAGAAACTGTGTTGTTTCTTTGCTATTTTCACTGAACATTTCCCAAAATATTAGAAAAAAATTCTGAACAAGCTACATTGATTCAATTTTCGTTGTTCGTTTTGTTCTTATTCGCTGACATTTGTTTTCCAATTGCGTGAAATTTGGTAAGTATTGTAATAAAACCGAATTATTTTACAAATAAATTATAATTTTGCATTTATTAGGTCATTTCCTTAGTGTTTCGCTGACCGACCTGTGCTGGTATTGTGATTAAGAGCTAATACACGTAAGTTACAACATATTATTTTGACTTTATTGATGAACCATTCCATTTGAGCTCTTTGTTATTTCAAAACCTAATGAACCATTTATTCGCAGATTTTTCGGACGATTCTGCTGTGCTGCGTTCCTGCTCCGCCTGTATATTGCTCCGCCCGTATTTTATAGTGTTGCGTTCCTGTTGCGCCTTTGCATTAGTGTGTGTGCGTTGTGATTTAGACACGTTGAAGTAAGTTGAAACCAGGTTCTCGTTTGTTAAAAACCTAAAAAACCATTTATTTGCAGATTTTTTGTATGCTTCTGCTGTGCTGCGTTCCTGCTCCACCCGTGTATTAGATTGCTGCGTTCCTGTTAACATACATATCGTCGCTTAAAGTACAAAACCGCGTAACTGACATTTGCTGCTAAAAATTGGATTCGCTCACACACGTTTTTGGATCAATCCTTATCCATTCTTCCTGAAATATACTAGCCAAAAATGCGATTGCTTTTTACAAAAGGATAACCATTTTGAAATATGAGTGTTTTTACTCTCTAGAAATTAATTTATGCAACCTCGCATACGTGGGTTTGCATTATCTCTATACGAGGTTTTGCAATTTATTGATGCATGGTTTTGTACTTTAAACGACGATATGTATGTAGATGTATGTACATGTATATCACATATATTGACTTAGATATGTATACACAATTAATGGTGTACATAAATTTTTTTATATTGAAACTAGATATGTATATAGTACATATTTTATTATTATTAGTCGGTTCAAAAAAGTCCTATCTCAAATAAAAATACTTCGAAAATGTGCTGAGATAGGGTGTTTTTGAACCGAGTTCCGAGATAGGGCATTTTTCAATCAAATTCTAAAATAGGGCGTTTTTCAGCCAAATTTTGAAATAGGGCGTTGAAAAGCTTTCTGATATCGGGCGTTTTCGACCTGGCTGCCGAGATAGGTCGATCTTCTACTCAGCCATCGATATATGGTCGAAGTTTTCGTTATATAGAAGACGATTAAACACGATTTGTTTTTAATCGATTCTAAAAAAACTAAGGTAATTTTTAGCCACTTCAAACTTGCATATAATTAGACTAAAATTGAAGGGGCTATAAAACTGAGTGCTCAAAAAAATTCTAACACTTCTGAGAAAAAAGTTTGAATTTTGGTTGAAAATTTGTTGTATTTTTTGTAGTTTTCTACGAAGTTTTAAAATTCGGTTTATATGAGTTTTGTTAGAAATTCAACTTTACTTTTGTTGCAAATTCTTAGCAATAAATAAATTAACATGAGAGGGAAATAATATTACTTTGAAATGGGGTTTGCTCATTGATATGGCCGATACTGTATGTATATAATAAATTTTGTACAATTAAAAAAGTGGATTTACTAAAATGAACACAACGTATTAATTACAAATTCTGAAATATGTCGTCAATTTCAAAAACAAATAAATAAAACTTTAAAAAGTAGTCAATGCTTGCTGTATGACACGAACTTGGATATACGTGGACTTGGGTAATGTATAATTCCTTATATGATTCCTCAAAGTATCCCTTGTATAACACTGTGGAACACAAAAAAACCTTAGTGCGACTATATCAGGTTTGATAGCTGGTGGCCATACCAATAATGCCTCATACTAAGATTTACTAGATCAATTCGTGTTCTCCGTGAAAAAAAATTTTCACGATCCAAACATCCAAAGTTTGAACATTTATCGTTTTTGGCCTTTATTTTGTTGAAAATACCATACAAAGCAAATATAGGGCAAAAAACAAAGAATTTTCAAAATTTTAAGAAAAGAATTTGGCGGCTATACTCAGATTTTTGAATCGTGAAATTTTTTTTTCTCGAGAACACGAATTGATCAAGTAAAACTGAGCATGAGGCATTATTGGTATGGTCAACAGCTATGAAACCTGATATATGCGCACAAGAAGCCTATATGAAAGAGGGGGACAAAAGATCACACGTAAATGAATTCCTCTTTTTGGCCTGTACAATATAAGGGACACATTCCAAATTCATAAGGGATAATTTTCTTAGTGATACGGCTCATAAAAGGAATTATATAAGCCATACTGTTCTAGCTGGGTATTCATTAGCTCGAAAATTTTAAGCATATTATCATATTCCTGTGAATAAAAACACGCCTAATTTTATTATTTTAATTATCTACAATTTTATGAGACTACCAAGCCATATATATACCTATTCTGATAATCGGAACGCTGTTGAGAAGGCATACAATTTAGTACTTTTTCAACTAAAAGGCTTTTTTTTATTCCCGTTTATCTTGTACTTCCAAAATACAATATTGACCTAAGGTAGTTCGATTTCGCGCTGTCACAACGTACAACACCTTTCATTATTGCATCATGTGTGAAGCCTTCGTCTGACTTAACGGTTGTCAAAGGCATGCCAGAAGATGTTTCATCATATGTTTTCGGCTATCGTCTTCTTCGAGTGTGTTCATCGATACCAAAAACTTTACAACCTATATGTGGCAGCAGCCCTTAGTGTTTTTGCCAATGACATGGTACGACTGCACTGTTAATAACCAAATTAAGCCGCAGTTGCATTCACACGTGATATAATAGCTAGTGTCGGCAAGCTGTGGGAATGCCCAGGAGATGGCGTTTGTTCAGCTATCGAAATCATTACACCGACGGCGGTGGGCAGTTCTGCTGGAACATATTTACCACAGCAGTGGTTGAGGCGTTTTGTTCTGCAACAATAGCCTGCAATGATGACATGTCCTATAATGTTGACGAACAAAGATATAAAATTGAAAATGACTAACCTTATTCCCGGCTAATTTGGGAGACCACCCTTGGTCACGACCAGAACGCATCTACCAAGAGGAAAAACCGCAGGGATTGCAGTAGTTCTTGCAATCACCGTTGATGATGCAGTGCTTGTAATTAATAGTCTGAAAATACAAAAAATTGCATTAATGAAATCTTATACACATCAAATAAATAAATTTCAATAATTTCTTTACCATTTCACAAACCGAATTACCAAGAAATAGAAACTCACCGCGATGCGATACAGAAATAAAAACCAACAGGGCTGCATTTTCTTGGTAAACAACACAAGCGCTCAGAGCAAACTGATCCGCCAAATTATTTTGTGAAAAATAATAGTTGAAAAGAGTTTTTACACATGATTATCACATTAACTCATAAGTGCAAATTATTGTGATTATTACCTTAGACTTTTTTTAATTGTTTTCTAATACTCATTCTTTTGGGACGCAAAAGCAACCATGCGCTCAATTTCTTGTGGGGAAATTTGGTCCCCATAAAGGACTTTCACCACGAAACAGCTACAAAAACAAAAACCTTTTCTACTGGTATACTGTGATACATAGATACATATGTATTTATGTATTTAGGTACTTAGGTTTTACATACAAATCGGTATGTACTTACGTGCATATTTAATTAAGCTTAAAACTGTATTTCCTCACTCTAGTACTTCACTTCATTGACTGGCTTCAACTTCGCTGCAAATTGAACAAAGCAAAACATGATTTGTAAGCGAGACAAATTTCCATAGAAAGTAACGATAGAAAAAGAATTTTTGGATATTCATTCTATTTTTCAGCTAACTACGATGCAGCATTCTACTTTGCATTCCCTGAAATGAAGCAAAGATATGAAACAAATAAAATATTGTAGAACATTCTAATTTGCATTCCCCGAAATGAAACAAAGAAGCGAAATAAATAAAATATTGTAGGACATTCTACTTTGCATTACCGGCAATGTCTAAAAGAAGCGAAAAAATTCGAAGGCATTATAACGCTATGCCTTCTAGAACACGTTATCACTAAAAGCGATTACCCTTTTTTTGCTGAGACTGTACAAACATAAATATTTAGAAGCAAAAAGACAGAAGGTACAAAAACTGCAAAGATATGTATGAAAATCTGAGGAACGATTTTGTTCTGAAAGGATTAGGGTTGTAGGAAAGAAAATTAGTTCCTGACTTATTCAAGGTTTCTCAATTTTTGAAATTTTTATTCAAGACAATCATAGCATTACGTTTTAAATTATTTTTTATAATTTACAGATCTCAAACGCGTATAAAGACTATACGGAAAATTGGATATTGAAGACCGGAGTATCATTACATAAAAAGTTGCAGTGCTTTTATGAAAATCGGAATTGTATAAATGCATCCTGCAACCACATGAGTTTAATAAGATGTGAAGGGATGAATAATTTTTCTTTCCACGTCTCATTATTCATCCTGCTCTGCATTATAACAGCTTTGAACTTCATGACCGTTGTAGCTTGGATGAAAGATGAAAGGTATGTAACACAAAAATGCCTGGTTATATCCAGTCCGTCGTAGCTCAACCAATTACTCAGAAAAATTAGTTTATTTCTGCTTATACAGCAACTAACTTTAAACTGATGTATAATCCTAGCAGCCTCATTGAGATAAACCAAATGCTTACACTTTTGATACTTATCTTTGCAATAGTTCAATATTAGTTTTAAAATCGTCTAACTGCGGCAATTAACTATTTCAGTATGAAAAGTCATACTGACTTTGAATTGCTTTAAGCCAAATGCATTTTAAAGTAGTTGAAATCAAATGCAGAGTCGAGCAATCGACTTGCTGCTTGCACACAATTAAAACTGAACATTTCAAAGCACATTGACATGTCTGGCTGTAGCCGAGCGGGCAATGATTTTTGCTACAATTGGTCGCGGCCAAGAATGTTAAAATCTCACTAGGCGGAACATTTAATTTCAAATTTTTAATTTCGGTTTTTCTTAATTATGAAAATCTGTGAAGTGTAGAACGAAAGCGTAATCAAATGACTGACTTTAAAGTACTTTAAGCCAAATGCATTTTAAAGTTTACCGGGATTTAGATACAAAAACCAATTTAAATGAGTAATTCTGCGAAATATTTGCGTAATATATATACTTATTTAAAATATACGTCACGTATATAAGGAAACAAAAATTTCCCTCTCCACTTTCCCATTAACAATTCACAATAGAGCAGTTTTTTCACTTAACAACACCATTCTTCAGGTCGCGTATTTCTTAACCGACCTGGCTGAACCCGGATAAATAGCCGAGTTTGTGTGGTTGTTTTGCGTGTATTTCGTCATTTAAGCGAGTGTTTTTTTGTAGCTCGGTTGCAAAAGAATGTACCTAGTATTTTAGTTTGAAT